AGCATTTTGGCCACATTATTTTTTTCCTTAAATTAACTAGAGAGATCCCTTCTGTCAGCTGAAGTGGATGCCTAAACCTGGTACAAATTGTGATGCTTCAAGGAATCAGTCCTTTAAGTGCTAATCTCTTGGGTCATAAAATGACATTAAAGGGTACCCAAATCACAACTATTTGCATTTACAGCTTTGTCTGTAGTTCGCTACCCATGTGAAGAATCTGATCCATTACCAGAGAGCCTGAAAAGTTTTTAACCAAGCATTCTGTATTTGGACATTTAAGACTAGTATTACTTGTATTATCATGTCATCTTAGTGAGTTAAATGCAATGAACAAACCCTAACACCCCCACCCCCCCAATAAACAAAACCACCCTAAAACCGAACACATAAGCCCAAAATGAGACTAAATTAACAGGATTGCTCATCCATTAAATGGGGAACTAGGTAAAACTAAGTTTTATTTAACACTAAGAATGAAACACTATAATAACTTTAGTGGTTTTGACTTACTTATAAAGGTGGAAAAATCCAAAGAAAAGATCCATTATACAACTCTCAGTCTTTACTCACAGGGCCACTAGTCAGTTCTCCTCCAGCCAGGAATCCCACTGGCTGTAGCAATTAACAGCCTTGTATCACTGTAAAGACTAATATATGCAACACTGTTTGTTTGCCCTGCTAAAAACGGCCTTCCAAGTTTCAGAACCTGTAGGATGCAACAATGGCAGGGTGGAAACTCATGCCTAGCCTCACAGATTCCAGACTGACAATTCTCATGTACCAAACAGGTACCAGTTTCTTCTGATGACCATTATCAATGAAGACAGATGTTGTACTGATATAAAAGACAAGTGCAGTAGATAACCCATCAGAAATATGATATAGTAAAAGCAGAGAATTCTTTTAACAACACTTTCATTTTCCCCCCAGTGTCTTCTCCTTTAGACATCATCCAGAAAGGCAACACGAAAGAGAAGTACCAGAAATTTACTCTTCAGAGCAGATTTCATAGCAAGGCTATGATGAAGAATCACAACATGATGCAGTCCATTACTTAATGTTCACTTGCTTAATCTCCTGTACCCATGACATTTCTGTGGTTTATATAGTGAAAGCTATTTGCCTATTCATCCAATGCTACTAGAACCAGACACAGAAAAGGTTCCAGGGAATGAATTCTAGTTTAGCGACTTGAGGGGGGAGGGATAAGGAGGAAAGACGTGGTGTGGAAACAAAGCCCAGCGAGTCCCAGATTTGAAGCAAGCTGTGGGTCTTTACCAAGTAAGACTTTGTAGACAAGACCACTTATGAACTATACAAATACAAGTGATGTACTGCAGAACATGGGAGTCTTGCATTTGTTTTCTCATGGTAGCATCTCAGCTATGTGTGAGAGATCCAACTCTTGTGTCAGCACAGCAGGAGATGTTCTCTTCTAGTCCTGTTCATTTAATGCCTATGAACAAGCTATTACTCGAAATGCCTGTTCCGGACAGTCATCTCACTAGTTGATTTGGTATTCTGAAGTCAGCACAAGATAGTCAATTCTAAAGAACTGAGCTGGCTTTTCAGCATCATCCAGTGACAAATTAGTAAAAAAAATGCTCATTTCCCAGCATGCTTCGAGATTCTAAGAGTATAGAGTTTTCTACAGTTAACAGAGAAGGTTTTCCTTATAAGGCTAACTGTGCTATACCAGAACTACAGGGAAGTATTAATACTGCTTGGAATTTCTTACTTTTTGTTTAGTAAGACAGACTAAGCTATGCCCTTCCTGAATAATACACTTGAAAAAAATAATTTCACTGTAAACAATTCCTAAAAATCCACGCAGGCTTATTAGCGATAATCTCCCAGAAGCTCCTATGTCTCAAACTAATTCATAGCAGTTCACTTGAAAAATTATTACCTGTATCAAAGCCACTAGAAACATGCCTTCCATACATGTGACAGTTTTCACAGACAAGCTAAATACAGTTGCAGAAAATGCCTCTTCCTATTTCTGAAGGATTTTTTAACTGGCACTTGTTTTAGCTATCTAACCATTCCTTTCTAGTCAGATCTGCTACACCAACATCAGTGGCAAGGCTCAACTTATTTCAGTAAAACCAGCTGAACTCAGCAGCATTACTTCTATCTCTTCAGTCTTCTGTCAACTAGTTTAATGTCTTAGCTACACTGAAACCAACATACACAATTAAAAATTATTTGAGGAAACACTCAAAGGACTGGAAAAAAACCCCACAATTTACACAGAACTGGATGTAAAACAGGATTAAGATGAGACTATACCCACTGATTACATATCCATGAGAACACTACTGATGCATTTGAATTAGATGAAACAGACTATAAAAGTATTACAGGTATTTTCCAAAAACAGCATGTGACCAACTTGAAACTTCTGATAACCTAAGCTATACAATCAACAAGCCGATACTGTATTGAAAACATGCAAGTAAGACTGATATTACAAAAGCAGTGCTGTAATTGCTCCTTGACTAAGGCAGAGCTTACCATGTCTTTAAACCGCTGTATGACTGTTACAAAATAATTTCTCAGACTTGCACCACGTAAAAGTTATTTACTTTACAGTAAATAACTGAATTAAAAGTCCAGGCAATTAAACAATGAAGTTATGGAAACCCTTACAAATGTCACATGGTTTGATATTAAAACTACATACACTGCAACATACCTGATACACAATTTAAGGTTCCATGGGCACAAAAACCACTTGTGCAAGCACTTGGTTTAAACAAGCTGCAGTGTTAAAACTGTAATATACATCTTCAAGCATTTCAAAACATGATGCTTACATGGCAGCATAAATATGATTACATATTAAAATGCTTCCTGAATTTCAACTTTTTCAATAATGCTGCTTTTACACTCAAAAGAGTTAAACCTGCCATCACCAGACACTTATCGTACAGAAATCAGGACAAGACAGTTTTCTTCATCTGCTGACTTCACAGACACAAGCTTCCTCTAACCAACAAGGTTAAGAAGAAAATTTTAAGCTTGGGAAAAGAATATTTTGTACAAGAAACCTATCTGAGCAATACATTCTAGAGAAAGAGAGATAGAAAGAGAAAGGGGCAGAAACTGAGCAGCATGTAGTAAAAGCCTAAGTTGGTTTGGCTACTTCAGAAAGAAACCAAAAGATGCCAAAGCCATTTAAGAACTTTCAACATCTTGCTAGAGGACAGAGTAATGTTGCAAGACAGCATTGCAATATAGTGTTCAACACTCTCATGAATGACCCACTGAGCTTTGTATTTCATTTTAATTTGACGCAAGAACATCAAGGGGAGCATTGACCCAAATATTCTTAATTTTCCTACCACAAAGGAACTTTACTCTGCTTTAGAGTACTATGTAGAGTCTGGCAGCTTTAAGAGGCAATATGAGTATTCTGAATTTATGGCATTAGTCCTCTGGAAGCCTCTTTTAGAACTACACTCAACAATGTTTGAGCTACAAGTGTAGATTACTAATACGCAGTCACTCAAAAAAAAGCAAGATGGGCTGAATGTTCCACTTGAACATTTTAGTGACTGTTCCTTACCATGTCTTCCCCAGCCAATCTCAGCTTCTCTGAAGCAGTTATTTGGATCAGTTTTGCTTCAGAGAAATTCTTCAGGAGGTTCAAGAGATGTTTCATATCATTGCTATGCATCACATGCTAAGTAATTCACTCAAAAGGTCATGAGTTGGCCACTGTTACAATAACCATGAATGTAGATACTCCACAAGAAGCTGACACTTGACTATTAAAAACTCCATAGCCGATGAATGATTAAAGCTCTACCTGTAACCTCATTTATTACTCTTGAATTTGACAAATTCTGGATGCAAGAACTAAGGCTAAAAATGCGCTCTACTACCATTTAGAACATAGAGAGTTGCAATATGATAAGAAGCATTACAAAAGATAGCTGCTGAATCCTTCATGTAATTCAAATTGACGAAGCAAGCTTACAGCAAACAAGTTAGAACAGAACTTTCATCCAGATTTTCTGATACCCAAGATCCATTTCTTCCCAATAAATTCATGAGGAAACTCTAAACAAGCATCCACCTCCGTTTAATAGAAAAGTAATAATGACCTTAAAAAAAAAAAATCCATAATTAAGAATTTCAGCAAATGCATACTGTCAGTGACAAATACAATATATACAAACAAGAAGACAGATACAAAAAAATTATAGTCTGGTTACACAGAGAATTACATGACATTTTTTCAAGAAACTTAGAAATTTTAAGTTTCACGGATCAGCGAAGGAGAAATTCCTTACAGCTACAAAGGTGTTTCAGCCTCTATCCCCACCAACCTCAACAGGCCGGGACAAGTGCAATACCACAGTCATACACAGCATTGCAACTGATCCCAACCTGTGTAGAAAGGGGTATAATTTTTCCACACTCACTGACTGACTTGTCACTGCCACAGTCAGTTTTGCATGGATTTGCACAGCAGAGTATCATACAGCTGGATGCAAACCTGCAAAACTAACCAGAGAACAGTGTTCAATTAAACAACAAATAAATTGTACGACACAATATGTAGTTCTACAGCTAGCAGTACTTTAAGTGCTTATAATGCAGTAGATTAGTGAACACTACCTGCACTATAAGCACTTTAGTGCTACAAGAGCTGTCATTCACTAGACTGCTGTTAAAATAAGGAAGGCCACAAAATATCCCATAACCAGCAGAAAGCATTCCAACTCCTTGATGTAGATTATAACAGGCCACCATCAGCTTTGCATAGATTTGCACAACCACTCTCTTCTTGTAGTGCAACTATGCAAAACTAACAGAAGACTGCAAAGCAGAAAACTACTGGAACATCTACAGTCTTAACCTGAGTGACTGGATGAAGACATAACTTCTTATGCCAGAAGGAGCACTTAGGGCAGTAGATGCTAATCTACTTCACTATCTGCACTAGATGCACCTTAGTACAAAAAGCACTTGACAGCACCACACTGTACCTTTCCATTCTCTGAAGTCCTGCGAGATCTCCTGAGGCAGTTGTCAACATAATGCTACAAGTGCCTTCACTGCAGTAGGTTCTATATATCACTACCTGCACTGTAAGCACTTTGACATTACTCTGACGCAAACAGCATTTTTTTAGCAATTCAAGTAATGTTGTCTACCTTGTACCTGCTGAAAGAAAAGAACAAAGTGAGTCTTTGATCAGGATTAGAACTGCAAGCTTTGGAACAAATATTCGCACTTCTGGGCTAAAGACCTCCTTGAGAGTAAGCTGAAGCAGCCCATCAGCCCAGTCCAGGACACTCATAAGTGATACCAGGAGTATCAAAATGCTAATTGACAGTAGAAGAGCTGAAGTGCAAAAACTAGTTAACTGCTTCTCCCATGCCATTCTCAAAACACCACTGAAACTTGTGGAGGTAAAAGTAACTTGAGTTTTCACTGACAAACCTGAAATTTGCTAAGAGCTTCCACCAACTCTCTCAATTAAAAAAAAAACAAATTATAAGGCCAATAAGTATTTAAACAAAGTCTATGCATTTCCAGGATACCAGGAATTTTAAAATTAGATTGAATGTATAATAACATCAGCTTTCTGAAGTCCAGAAAGCATCTTAGGAAATGCCAGGTGCCTTCCTAAGTTTTCCAATTACGCTCTTTGCTGTCCAGTTAGAATATTTGCTACCACTGCCACAGATACCCTGTCTCAAAACAAAATTCCTATTGTGGTATTTAGATTGGCCTATCTAGCAACAAAAAACAGCTTCTAATGATGGCTGTAAAATATACTACCACAACCAAATTACAGCTACTTATTAAAGACCTGAGGCTCAGTAAAGCAGGACAGTGCTATACTCAAAATTTGAAAAAAAACATTTTATTCCTTCTTTAATAGGAATATGGACTTGAACGAACAGGTAAACAGTCTCCCTTGCCTGATACTTATAGCCAGCTTAATATAACACTTTGAAACTACAATAAAACTTCTGTTAGACTGACTGAGAAAGGACCTTTGCTCAAAGAAAAAAAAATAAATCCCAAATATCAAATTTAAACGTTTTTAAAACTTTCTCACTGTCCAGCTGCTTTAGTTGAACAAATGAGTGTTTGAGAAACTTGCACTATTCTCCTCTAAATGAGTGAAACTGTGGACTGCTATACATACCTCCAATCCCAAGGAACTCTTTGGAATTTAGTGGTCCTAACTGAAGTCTGAGCCTGAGCCTCAAAAGAACTGGTTCTGCCTCGACATTCCAATAAAATAAAATTAAAAACTTACCATCATCCGTTAAAAGGAACTTCCTCCACACACTGCTGCAACATCCACATAAAGCTTCATTATGTCCTGCTGCACATGTCGATACTGCGAAAAAAACCACCGAGTTATCTGCTTTTTATTGCAGAGGAGCGAACAAAGTCACCGAGGAGCAAGCAAGTTCCCTAACCCAGGGCTCCCCATCCCTACTCCACCCCCCGGCAGGGCGGGAAACGCTCCGTAGCCCCTCAGGCGGCCACGAACCGCCTAGTGCGACACCCCACACGCGGGCTCATCCGTTTTCCCGGTAAGTCGCTCCCCGCTGCGCCTCGACGGGAGCCCTTCCACGCTGCCCCCCCGCGAGGGCCGGGCCGGGGGCGGCGAGGCCGCCGTGCCCGGGCCGGGCCCGCTCCCGCTCGCGCACAGCGCAGCACGTGCTCCGCCGAGAACACAAGGCCGGCCGCCAGGGGGCGCCGCCGCGGCGGCGTGGAGGTCACAGCCCGGCTACGGCGTGACGCCCCCCCCCGCCCGCCCGCCCGGGCCCCGCCGAGTCCCGCAGCCCGAACCACGCCAAAAGGCCGCGCCCGCCCGCTCCCAGGGGCCGCCCGCGCCGGGAAGGGGCCGCGGCGGGGAAAAGGGAAGCGGCTCCCCGGGCCTCCGCTGCCTACACGCGGCTCCGGGCCTAACAGGGAACAATCGGCCCCAGCACGCAGCCGCCGCCATGTCCCCCGCCTCCTCCCCCTTCCCAGCAACATGGCGCCGCCGAGGCCCCGCAGCTGCCGCCGCCGCGCCGATTTCGTAATGAAGCTCGCGGCTCCCGAACGGCGGCGGCGGCGCGGGGCCTGTCCGGTGTCCCCTGCCCGCCTGCCCGGGAGAGGCAGGAGGCCCTGCGCCCCGGCAGGGAAAGGGGGGATACCGGGGAAGGGGGGGGTGAGGGGGAAGAGGAGGGCCCGCCGCCCCCGCCCCTCCGGCGAACAAAAGCCCATGCGGAGGGGCCCGGGACGCGCTCGCAGCCCGCGGCGCTGCCCCCTCCCTGGGGCCCCGCGCCACCTCTCCTGGGGGGGCGACGGTGCACAAAGCGCCTTCGCTGGGAACTCCCCGAGAGCCCCCACGCGGCCCGCGCCCTCCCCCCCGTCCCTCCCCGCCCGCCGCCTCTTTTACCGCCGCTGCCGTTCCCCGAGCTGGGCGTGGGCGGCGAGTGGAGCCCCCGCGCCGCCGCCGCGGCCTCTGCCCCACGTGCGGCTTTGTTCTGGCGCCGCCAGCTCCCCCCCGCAGCCGTGCCATGCACAGCGCAAACTTTCCCGGACGGGCCTTCCCCCCACGGCCCGCGGGGGCAGAACCCCCGCCCGCGCCCACCCCCGGCCGCCGCTGCCATTGTGCCGCGCACGCCGCCCTGCCCTGCCCTGCCCGCCCCGGGGGCTCGGCCGCTCCCCGCGCCGCCCTGGCCCGGCGAGGCGCCCCGGGCCCGGAGCGCGGCGGCAGGGGGTGGGGGGGCGGGAAGGGGGCGGCGGGACTCACTGCAGCGGCGAGCGGCGCGCACGCTTTTTCAAATCTCCCTCATTCCAGCCCCTCCCGCCCCGTGTGCGAGCTCGGGAGGCGCCGCCGCCGCGGCGGCCGCTGCCATGCGCCCTGCTCCCGGCTCCCCCCGCCGCCCACCCACACCTCCTCCTGCCGCCCCGGCCACTCGCTGCGGCCACGCCAGCACCCCCCGCGCCGCCGCCGCTGCCTCCGCGCCGCCCGCCCGCCCCCCGTCCCCGCGCTGCCTTCCCGGGCTCGCCTCCCGCGCCCAGCGGCCGCCGCCGCCTCACAACAGGTTTTCTGTCAGCGACACGCGCGCGGCAGCGACACTCACCAGCCAGCGGCCGCCGCCACCATCTTCCCTCCTCCTCCTTCTCCTCCTCCCGCGGCCCCGGCGCGGCGTGGCCGGCCCGGCGGAGGGGAGCCGCTCCGCTCCTCGGCGGGGCGGATGGGGGGTGGGAGGCGGGGGAGGGGGAGGGAAGTGGCGCGAAGGCAGGTCCCGGCGGTAGGAGCAACCAAGCTCGGGGACCATGTGGGTGAATGAAGGGCGGCGGCTCCCGCCTCAACGTAAATATCCACAAGCCCCGCTCCGCCCTCATTAGAATAGAAAACAAAGTGCTTCCGAGCGCCGCGCCGCCCAATCGCCGGCCGCGGCCCCCGCCCCCGCCCGCTGCCGCCTGCTGCGATTCATCCACGCACCAGGCATGCACCGAGCCCGCCGCTCCCCCGGCCTGCCCCGCGCTGCACGGGCACCGCCGACACCGCCGCAAACTTTGTCTCCGCCGTTCCGCTGGGGCCGGGCCGCGGCGGGGGAGCGGGGCGCCCGCCCTACCGCACCGCGCACGGCTCCCGCCGGGGGATGGCGGTGCCGCGCGCATCCTGCCTGCGCAGGCGGTGGGGAAGGGGAGGGAGGGAGGGAAGCGCGGGGTGGGGGATGCACATGGTGGCCCCTCGCTCGCGGGAGGGCCGGGAGAGGCCCGGCCGTGGGGGGCGGGCTGGGCTGGGCCCGCCCGCTGCCGCCTTGCGGAGTTGCGCTTGCTTGGGAAAGCGGGGGCGCAGCGCTCGTCCCGACCCGGCCCGCGCCTCCGGCCCGCCGCGGAGCTGTGGAGGGGGTGGTCCCGCATGTGGCTGCACTTGTCCGGGGGAAACTCCTGGACTTGGGTCTGGCGGAAAAGGAGAGTAGGAAACCCGAGTCGCGAGGGTACCAGTGCGAAGGTGTGGGAGGGCGAGCAGCAGCAGCATCCCGGGCCGCCGCTCTCGGCTGGGGGTCCCACCCGCGACCGGCGGACCCCAGGGGGGCTGCGCTGGGCTCTGTCCGGTGGCAGCCGCCGCCTTGAGCAGGCTCCCTGCGGGCGGGCCCGGGAGCTGAGCCCTACCCGGAGCCGCTATCGACTGCGGCCGCCCCGAGGGCAAGCGGGTACCCGCGGCCAGGGGCGGCAGAAAGTCCGGGACCTGTGGGACGGAAGGATGCTCTTTGTAACAAAGCTGTGTAGATGCGGGGGTAAAGTGCTTAAGTGAAGTGTGCGACTAGGTTTTCCTATGGCCTTGTGTCATCCTTGCCTTTGCCTCGGTTTTCTGGACTCTGATAGAAAATGATAGTTGGAGATCAACATACATTTCCTCGACATAGACGCTTATTTTACAGACTCGATTAATCCTGGATTTTTAAAAGGTGGAAGTGCCTTTAGTTATTTTATTTACATTATATTATTTTGCACAACAATTTTATAGATGAACATTTCTTCAGTTCTGTATATCATTATAAACCAAAAAATCATTTCACCTTCTGAATAAAAAGACCAGAAAAAGTGTAGCCTGAATTTACCATTTCCAATGCACTTTGAGGTTTTCTTTTCTGTTGTATTATGTTGTTGTCCAACGATTTCTGCAGAAAATAGAATATTTGCTTTTGTCAATTATTATAGTTACCTGCAGTATATAGCAGAAAAAGTTTGCCTACTCTCAATTTGTCTTGTTTTGTAGATTTTTGGAATAGGACACTGTTAGTTCCTACGCTTGTAAATACATTTCATTAAAGCTACAACATTCTCTTTTAGGTGGCTTTGCTGTATGAATTTAATAAACCAGAATATAATAAACCAGAGAGTTGGGGGGGGTATATGTGATGTCAAATGTCACAGAAGTTGATTATGAGTTTTTTCTCATCCATACCTTGCAGTTTGTGGTTTTTTTCTCTTAAATATGTATTTACTGATGTACACAAAAAATATTTTGCAGTTCTGTCTTTGATAAAGGATCATTTCAAAACTATATCTGCTTTTTGAAACCACAGTAATGGAAAATGCAGTTGATCTTAGTAATATTGAAGTTGTTCTTCCTTGCAGCTGAGGCTCCTTTCTTGCTCCTTAGTCCTGTTTACCACCCCACACACACACCATTTCTATAATTTTTTAAATTTTTTTTCTTGCTTTTTCCCTGTACTCCTGTAACTTTTGGCAAAAAGGCCAACAAAAGGTAATCAATAAGGTGCATGCAGAAGGAGATTTTTGTTCTTACTGCATTGGATGAACTCTATGCCTTGCCAAAGTTGGTCGCAATAGTCCCACTGATTGAACAGGTAAGGTTTTAATCTTTGTCGTATATCTGAAGATTCCAAAGTTCTTTTGCAATTCTCCTCAGAATATAGAGTAAATGAATTGATAGGAAAAGTAACATCACAACATATGAAACTGTCCACTGGCTGAAAAGAGCCAACAAAAGCATAAGCAAGAAAGAAAGAATACAAGAATAGTTTGTTTCAGTGAACTTTATTCATTTGCAACAGAGAGGATATTGCATTTAGTACCTAGGTGTCTTATGTTCCTCTCACCACACCTAGAAGAAACATGCTATTGATGAAAAAAAAAAGTATTATTTCACTGATTCAAATGGTTGGGCCTATAGGGTCCAATCTGACTCCTACTGAAACTAGTGGTCTTCATAAAGCCCCTGTGCACACAGGTCATGCACAAGCACAGATGTCGCTGTATTTTGTTTCATAGCTCTAGTGGATTCTCCTACAGATAACTTTCTTTGAATATAACTTTGGAGTAGAAGCCACTAAATGAGAAAAACTTTCTTAAAGAGGAAAAAGTGACACGAGTAAATTCTCTTAAAGGGAAAATTTTTAAACAGTAAATATTGTTCTGTATCTGGAAGAAAATACTCAAGGCCCTAAGGCCACTCCTTTAACATGTACGAACTCATCTGTTTGTCCTTTAAAGAGTAGTGCCCTTCTTATTTTTCTTCACTGCAGTAGCTGAGCACATCACATTTATCATATTTAGCTTCACAACAGTGTGACGTGGCAATTACTATTCCCATATAACAGATTAAGAATCTGACATAATAAGGATCAGAAATTAGTGTTTTAAAAGCCAAGGATTACACCTTAATTAAAGCTAGTTTGCTCTGTTTTAATTGCTATAAAGAATATGGAATAGATCAGTATACTTTATACATCACTTGAGATCATAGATAATGTGTGTGTTATGCAGTACACACTACTAAGAAATCTTAGGAATTAGCTATTTTACCAAACTGCCTCTAAAAAGAAAAGAAAAAAATATTTTCTGAAGGGAAAATAAAACTTTTATAAGTTTGTTAAACAAACATAATTATCTAGTGATATGTACAGTAGTGATGCCAGCTCCTTGTCCAT